GAAAAAGTACTACAGTGGTGTCTTAATAAAAAGTCATGTTCTCAGGCAGTCTAATTTGTTGGCTTCCTGAGTACATGCTATGGATCTAAAGGCAATATACGACAAGGAACCCTGAGTCCAAAGAGTACAAAATGATATAATAACAAGCCCTTTCATCAAGGGTGAAGCAGCAGAACATATGCCTGGACAGAGATAGTCAAAATTTCGAAACAAAGGAAATACTAATGCAACATAGACCGTTTATTCATCTGAAGCAATGGTATAGTTGGAACACCCCGAGATGGGACATAAAAGACGTAAGAAACCAGCCATTCTTTTATCTTCAACTGTAATGTACTGAAATTGCAACTGAAGTCTTTTCCCTGATCATATCACTGATAAACTAACCATGCCCTGGTAACCACAAAAGCTGATCTACAGTTTTGTAGAAATGTGTGCACTTGACTGCTTATTTTCATTTGGGTGTGTATGTGCTTTGGTGTATGAGAGAGAAAAAGAGAACAGATACAGCTTGGGGTAATATTTATAACTGGAAATCTGAGGTTTCACATGAAATTTACTATCTAAAACATTTTTAAGTGTCCAGTTCAGTAGTGATGAGAATATTCACATTGTTCTGAAACAGGTCTCCAGAACTTCTTCACCTTGCAGAACCGAAACTCTATGCCCATTAAACAAACCCCTTTTTCCCTCCCACAGCCCCTGAAAGCATCATTCTGCTTTCTGTTTCTATGAATTTGACTACTTTAGATACCTTAAGTAAGTGGAATAATACAGTACTTGTCTTTTTGTGACTGGCTTATTTAATGTGCTCAAGATTCATCCATATTGGACCATGTGACAAAATTTCCTTCCTTTTTAAGGCTGAATAAAAGCCTATTGTATGTTTATGCCACATTTGGTTTACCCATTCATCTGTCACGGACACTGGGTTGCTTCCACCTCTTGGCTTTTGTGAAAAGTACTGCAATGAACACGTGTGCACAAATATCTCTTCAAGACCTTGCTTTCATTTCCTTTGGATATATACTCAGCAGGGGGGTTGCATAATCATATCGTAGTTCTACATTCAATTTTTTTAGGAACTGCCATATTGTTTTCCATAGTGGTTCTGAGTTGTTAATGTTTGCTCTCTGAGAGCTCACTCATAAATATTAATTCTTTAATTTGGGAAAAGGAGAAAAACAGAAAAGAAAAACTGAGGCAGTATGAGTCCCCCTCTGGCTAGGGCTTCTTTCTTCACTCGAGAGCCTGTCCTGCGGGCTCAGCATGCCTCCTCTTTCTGTCCTGCTCCCCTCCATTCTCCCCTGCCACCTGCCCCCACTGATGTGGCCGTATCTTAGCCCCTTGCAGTAGGCAGAACGATGGCCCCTTCCTAAAATGTCTGCACCATAATGTGTTGTGATACATGTCAAAAGGGACTTTGCAAATGTAATTCAAGTTCCAGACCTTTAACAGAGACACTGTCCTGGATTATCTGGGTGGGCCCAATCTAATCACGGGAGCCCTTAAAAGCAGAGAACTGTTGGGCCGGCCCGGTGGCGCACTGCTACAGTGCACCGCTTGGGAGCGTGGTGGCGCTCCCA